TTTTTTCTTACAGTTTTTTTGTTTCTCATATATATATAGTTAGTTAGTATTTTATTAAATTTTAGCAAAATAATAGATTATAATACTGATTAACTCCAAAAAGGTTTAATAGTATTGAAACTAAATCCGACGAATTGACTTAATTTCAGTTGTAAAATCAAGATGAATTGTGAAAGTTTACGAATACGATAAAGCAAAATAACAATTTGTTTTCCAAAATAAAATTGAGAAATTTCAAAAAATGCCACTTTTTAAGTGTCATTTTACAAAAATGCCACACTTTTGAAATCTTTACAAAAATGCCACTTTTTCAAAATTATTTTTTCTTTATATCATTTATGTTTGAGTTAATTATATTCTATTAGAGTTTAGTTATGAGGGTTTAGGGGGTTTTAGGGGTCAAAACATTTTTTAGGGTTTAGAATTTTAAGATATAGACTTTATAAATCTATAATTAGTGGCATTTTTGCAAATGGACACCCCTAAGTGCATTCTTGCAAATGTGCACACAAAAAGTGGCATTTTTATAATTGCCCCAATAAAATTAGAATCGGATTAAGAATTTTTGAAATATTATTTATCTTGAATTTAAAAATCGAGAACTCAAAAACAAAATCGAAAAGTTTACTAAGATGATGTGATAATATATCATTAATTTTTAAATTCAATTAAGTACATTCAATTTTTGACATTAATTGATAATATATTGAAAGATTTAAAGTGATGATGTTGACACCTTAAGAGGAGAGAAAACTCTCCCATTATATAATAGATACCGATTATCTCAGTTAAGTTAGATATTTATGATATATATTAATTTGTTTCATTGTTGAATTTCCAAATTAAATAATTTTCTGGGAAATAAGATTTTGGATTCTAGATTAATTATTTTTCGTTGATCGGGTTAATGAAGAATCATTGATTTATGTTGATGCTTACATAAAATCTGAATTGATTTTAGAATCGTATTTAGAGGAGGAACATCGAATATTATATCTCTACGGCTCAATCCATTGACATTTAGTCACATTTTCAGAATCGTGATCGCATATGAAAAAGTCATATCGACTCTTTTTTTTTTTTTCATCTGAATTTGAGATATATACCATCGGAGTAAAATTACAATGAACCTGCCAAAAATCTGGTCACCACACAAACCCAAAAAATGGTCACCATCAAGTTTTATGCTAAGAAGACCGGACACACCAAAAAGAAACGCCATAACAATCATACATAATAAAGTCAAAAACTAAGTCCCATTCAAGGAGACCCGAGACTTCTGTTCAACCTCAAAGAGATCGTTAAGCCATCGAGGTCCACCTTGAGCAACATATGATTGAGT